GCCACAGAAAATAACTAAATTGAGAAAATGAAAAACTGACACATATACAGATATGTGCGTGTGTTTGTATCACTTAGTCCGTGAAAGTCCAAACAGGGATAGACACTTTTCCCATCCATTTTTGCTCTAAAATTTCATAGTCCATTAAACTCACACACCTATAAAGTAACAGGACCATTCTTAACTCACCATCGCTAGCACCATCTCTTTTCACGTCAACAACTGGAAAAAGTTAGTAAGGAAATCTATGAAGCCGAACCACATATACTTGTGCAAAATCTTACATGTGAGAACAAAGCATTAAATAAAAGTCACATTCCACTGATTATTACTTATTATTACACAAATTATATGGTTTAAAACAATTTTGAATACAAATATCTCCTACAACATACCTCCAAATCTTTCCAGCATATTCTGTACTTCACCCCTGTGAAAAAAAATACATCAAAAAACTTTTAATTAAGGATCCACAAAATATCATTCTTGTTTTGGAAGAAATATCACATGCCCAGTATTTTACATGCAATACTCATTGGCCAACCAAATAGACTTTTCTTAAAGTCTAAGGTGAAAATTGAGCATATTACCCCACGTCTTCAACTTTTCCTGCAGAAGTTCTCTTCTTCCCATGTTTATCAAGTGCTGGAGTCTTCCCTGAATTGACAAAAAAAAAAGAAAAAGAGTTGAAATTAAGTATGCTATTTTGGTAATTTTTAAATGGAGTAATATCTTAATTTCGAGGTTTTTTTGAGGCTTTGTGCCAAGACAAGTTTTTAAAGCAGACATATAAATGCACTACTTTCTCTGCAGGTTAGATGGAATTAAATCAGGATCCAAGACCATTTTATGGGAACAATTTTGCAAGTCTTCCTGTGTTAATGTCATAATAATCTATGTACTGTTTATCAGACATCAGGCGAAAGATGCTATAAAAGCTTCACTAAGTCTGAATAAGAAACATGAGGTACATGAAAATAAATGCAGGACATGGTCACTGCCCAACAGCATTAGCTATACAGTACCTTCCATGACATCCTCCTCTGAACCACTCGGATGTTTTTTATCTGCTTTCTCAAAGTCACAGGCTCTTATAACCTGATCCTCCATGAATGTCTTCCCAGATTTCCCGGTATGTTTTCTTCCAGAGGGCACCATTTTTTGATGTTTTCTGATTAAAAAAAAAAAAAAAAAAAAAAAAATCAAACCTGCTGAATCCAAAGACCCCATTTAAATAAACTGGCAAATTTCAAAATGACAGATATCAAATAAAGATGATTTTAGTTGAATACCACTTTAGGAGTCTCTTCATTTATGCTGTTGGACCAAAAGTTAACAGAAGATAATGACTGCGTCGCCCCTGACGCCGGCGGTGGTTCGCCTCTGAGGACTGGGAGGGCGGCGGAATCCTAGCCCGGCCAGGCTCTGGCTAAATCGGGGCAAATCTAGATCCAGCTGACTTCAGTCACAATGTGAAAATCGTAATTACTGACAGGATGGATCTCGAGCCCGCCCCAAAGAAGTTGCCAGCAACAGAAATACAACATAAAACGTTCTGCGTCCTGGGCCGCAGAAAATAACGTCCAGTAAGATTTCCACGACCCAGGCCTCGAGGCCTGGCTTCATCTAAATGGTTTCTGCGGGGTGTGGGCGCGCTGACGAGGGCCCACCCTCCTCGCCTGCTGTCAACCTGTCCACCCGCCCAGTGTCGCGTCCAGTCCCGAGGCAGCGCAGCTAGCGCCTTTCCGCCCACTCACGGCCCTGCCCGCAGGGAGCTGTACTGCCTTCAAATTCCTGTCAGGGGCCCCAGGGAGCCCCAGCGGGTAAGATTTACCTCACAGGTCGAGAATAACCCCTGGCTCACATTCCCGCGCGGGACAAACGCTCCCCTCCTCACACCTGAAAAACACCCCAATGGCCGACGACCACAGTTATACGCCTCAGTACAGGAGTCCCCGCCGCTCCCGCCTCCCCTTGCCCCACCACCTCAAACTTGACGTCTTAACAGCCTCGACGCTATTCCGAAGCAGGTCAGAATTCTCGTGGAAGAAAAGCCGGCCTCGCCTCGTCCGGGAGGGAGCGTCTCTGATTGGCCGGCAGGAGGGCGCATGCGTACAGCGGCCCCGGGGGCTCCGCTCCCTCGGACGCCACGCCCAACGAGAGTGCCGACCCAGAGCACCTTGCAGGCAGCATCTATGGCTAGTACCCCTGAAGCGAGGCACTTTCCAGTTTCTTTTTGTAATTTAAGTTGAAAATTTTCACAATATTGTAATAATAATGTTGGCAAAGAATATAAAGAACACACAACTTAATTTGTGAAGTACAGTTTTACCAGAGCCTATTGCATCTCCTCAGGGAGTCCTTTCCCTCCCATCCCCCCATGCCCTACTCAGAGATTTTTTTTTTTAATTATCTTGAATTTTGTGTTAATCATTGGACCCTCCCATTTTCTAAGTTTTGTTACCGCATGTATGTGCCCTGAAACAACTCTGCTTAGTTCTGTTTGTGTTTGGGTAGTATAGAAAGTTGTACCATATTCTATGTAGTATTCTGTCATTCGCTTTTTAAACTTAACATTATGTCACTAAGAGAATCTAGATTACATGTAGCCATAGTTCTTTCATTTTCACTGCTGCAAAATATCCCATTGTGCCTCTATTCCACCATTTATTCACTTATTTTCTTGTCTGTGGACATGTGGGTTATTTTCAGATTACAGCCTGTATAAACAATGATACTATGAATATTCTAATCTCCTGCATATATGCTAAAGTTTTTACAGAGTATCTGGGTGTGAAGTTCTCGGTATAGGCTAGATGATGTAAAAGCCAAATTGGTTTCAAATTTATACCCCCACCAACAGTGAGTTCCCATTGTTCAATGCACTCATCATCACTTGGTATAGTCAGATTTCTTAATTTTGCCATTCTAGTGGGTGTAAAAGGATATTTCTTTAGGGTCTGCTTTTGTATTTCTCCAATCACTCACAAGATTAAGCTCTTGTTATGCTTATTGGCCATTTGCATTTCCTTTTCCTTAAAATATCTATTTGGGTTTCTGGCTCATTTTTCAATTGGGTTATGTGTTTCTTATTGATTTGTAGCTCTTTATATATGGGAGTGGTGTTAATATTTATGACTGCTTTCTGTATCTTTTTAAATGAATTTATTTTTATCCTGAAGTCATAAAAATACAAAAGTTTTAAGGTTTTATTTTTCATTTTTAAGCCTTTGTTCATCGAGAATTTATTTTTGTGCCTGGTGACAGGTAGGGTCCAATTACTTCCCCCCACCCCGCACTCCGCCCCTTACTGTGGAAACCAGTTTATTGAATAGTGCATGCTTTCCCTTTAACAGCTACGTCATCTGTCATGTTTCTGTATGTTCTTGAGTCTGCTTCCCTAGCCTGTTCCACTGGTCAGTTTGCCTATTCCTGTGCCAAAGTCAGTTTTCATCATTCCAGCTTTATTAAAGGTTTGGCAACTAAGAGGGCAAGTCACACCTTATTTTTTCTTCAGAAGTATCCTGTGTATTCTTGAACTTTTGCTTTTCTAGTAAATTTTAGAATCAGTTTTGCAAGTTCCAGGAAAAAAATCAAAACAAAACAACCTACTGGATTTTAATTGGGACGGCAATAAATCTATACATCAATTTGGAGAGAACTGAGTCTTCCGATTCTTGAACGTAGCATATTTTCCATTTATTTAGAACTTCTTTAATATAATTCAATAAAGTTAATTTCTTTTCTCTGTGTAGAGTGTGCACTTTTATTAGATTTATTTATAAATAACTTATATTTTGTCTCTTTTTTTCAAATTGTTATATAATTTTGTTCTAATTGGTATATAAATATCCAATTGATTTCTGATATGGGTCTTATTTCTTTTTAAATCCACATTTTAAAAGTTTATTTATCTGCTTATACACAACATTGTTCCAGAAAGGGTTAAAGGTGGCTTAAAAGACTCCATAAAATACACCAAGGAATTAGTAATAGAAGAACCAGGAATGAAACGTATGCAAAATGCTTACATAATCCTACTCGTTTACTCTGGGTGGACCATAAATTTGGCTCTAAGTTTTCAGCAGGCAGTCAGAAAAGGAAACTTAGTTACATCGTTTACAGTGTTCATAAAGCAAAAACAAACCAGTTACCCAAGCAAAGCACTGTTATTCCTGATACTAAGACCAGAAAGAAATTTCTCGAGAGGCTTCATCAAGAGGTCAGTGTATGATGTAATTAATAATCAGTGTTCTCAGTAGCAACCTAATGGGAGACACAAAGATGAATTTCACAGGGCTCTTTCTTCAATACAGGCAGATGGCATCACATCAACTTGAAAATCAGGGAAAGCAATTTTATCATGAGTTTGGGGGTTGATGAGGGGAACACAATATGATATGGTCAAGGTACTCAGCTCTTTGCTCTGCTCAACAAAACCAAAGATACATTTTGGAACAACAGAGTTGATTCCAGTACCCAGAATGTCTCCGGAGAAGTCCTGAAACCCTTAAAATTCTATGCAACATTTTCTGAATAGGTGCTTTTATTCTTCTTGCCAGAGAAAACATAGTTTATCAGATACACTGTACTCAGCGTACCCAGGTGATACATATAAATTAGGAACCATTTCTTTTGACAATCTAGAGAATTAGACTACAAATCATTCATGCTATTCAGATACTTATGTTTTCTTCTTATAGCCTAGCTTATTTTTCCTCTGCAAAAAGAACCTTTTTTATTTCCATGTGGTGCCACAGCTTGGGTGAAGGTTTCAGGGTGGTTAAAAAAGGTTGCCTCCTGGCTGGAGGAAGGGGCTCGGGCAGAGATCTCGAGGCGGGGGAAGGCAGGGGGGTCTCGCAGAGGCCGCCGGGCTCTGGAGGCTCCTAGTTGCGCTGGCAGGAGAGCCCTTCGAAGAGATACTCGCCCAGTTCGGCCTGGGGGCCCGGCCAGACTGCGCAGGTCTGTCAGGTGCACGCCCATCTTCTTGAGGAGCTTCTTGATGAGCTCCTCCTGCAGGAAGCGGCTCTCCAGGAGCTCGCAGAGCCGGGCGCGTGCGCTCGCAGAACCCGGGGCCTGCGGATCCAAGACCGCCCGGTCCAGGCTCCTCTCCAGGGCCGTGGCGGCCTCCGTGGCGCCCACGCTGGCGCCCCACTCCTCCGGGGACGGCTCCTGCCCGTCCTGGAGCGGGGCGCGGCCGCCCCACTGCTTCCGCATCTTCAAGAGAGAAGCTGGGCGCCCTTGCGCTTCTCCATAGACAGCTCCCGGAGGAAGCGGCCCACGCCCCACGCCTTCGAAGCAGAAGCGCAGAGAGAGGTAAGTGGACGAGGCCCGAGGTGCAGGTTGGTCAGGCGGCTGACGGCGGCCTCCACCTCGGTGGAAGCACTCTGCTGGATGGGGGGTCACGGTGAGTCAGCAGTGAGGAGGACTTCCCCGTAAAGTGTGTTGTGAGGATGGACCCGGAAGCAGGCACCTGGGTCTTCTTCTCTCCAGCAACTTGCTAAACACTTTTATTACTTCCAATAATTTGTAGAGTCTGGGATCTTATAATAATATCATCTGTAAATAATGACATTCTCGTGTCTTTGTAGTTCGTAGGCCTTTTTTCATTTTCTGCCAGCACCGATTAGGATTTTTAGTACGAAGATGAATAAAAGCATGGATACTAGACATTTTTCCTAATTTTAAAGGGCATGTTTCTAAAGTTTCTATTAACAGTGATGATACTGAAACCGTGGGTTAAATCCATTTCACCTGCCGTCACTAATCAAGGTCGTTTTAAGATTTGCCTGACCTCCAAGCTGCACTTAGCCTAGACAAGAAGGTGTTTGCCTAAGTTGTTTTCCAGCTGCTATAGCTTGAGCTGAGCTAGGTAAGTCCGGATAGGACCACCCACCCTTCAGCTGGGCATTCCAAAGTGTCTGCTTGGTGATCTTTTGACATCAAAGGGCTAAAAACTCTACCCTCAGAACATGCAGAGGCCCGGAGCCTAGTTAAACCTGCTCAGGATGTCAGTTACCACACCTTTTTCCAATCACCTTTCCCCACACTCCCCATGCCTTGGACCGCCCTGCTTCTTTATTCCTTATCCCATAAATACCCCGAGCCCCCTTGCCTCGGCAGGCAGAGCTCAGATTGGTTCTCCTGTCTCCTCGCTTCCCTGTCTTCTGAATAAATACCCTCTTTGCTGCAAACCTCGGCATCTCAGTGTTTCATCTTGCTGGGCGTCAGGCGAGACAAACCTGGTTCGGTAACATATACCATGTGTGTGATTTTGGTAGTTGCCCTTCTTGAAAGCTTAGCTTCTATTTTTAGTTTGCTAAGAGTTTTTTGTTTGCTTGTTTGTTTTATTTTGTTTTTTTAAAATGATGAATAAGTGTTGCATTTTATTAAATTCTTTTCTGTATCTATTGAAACGATCTTTTCTCTTTAATTTGTTAATGTAGTGAAGAAAATGTACATCATCTCCTAATGTTAAACCAAATCTACATTCCTGTGACAAACCCAAGTTGATCACGATGTACTAACTTTTTAAGCACATTGCTGTGTTTGGGTTGTTCAGCTTTTTGTGTCCATTTTCATGACTGAGATTGGCTTGTAATTTTCCCTTAGCCTACTGTCCTTATCTGGTTTGTAATCAAGGCTATGCACATGGCTTGCTCCCTCTTCAAGTCTTTGCTCAAATGTTACTGTTCATCTCAATGAGGCCTTCTGTGCCTCCGTTTTTAGATATTGTAATTGTAAACTCAGCACCTTTATTTCTCTTCTTTCCCAAGTCTCCTTCCCCAGCTACCTTTTTCCTACCACTTACTGCTTTCTGTTGTATGTAATTTGATCATTAACCCCAAATGTTTGAAATTCTTTTGTGAAACTGTCTGAACCTAGTGACATCATTGGAGTAGTTCCTTGAAAGTTTTCTTTTTTAT